TATTTGCCTGAAGACGACAGAAATACATTTGTCAAAAGTGCTTGAATGAAAAATGTTTAATAACGCCACACACAGTGAGTTTTACTGCTTATTAATGTAGAATATTTTCAACATTCTTTCCATTTGGAAGATTTCAAATATCTTTAGTAAATTTATTTTAAAATAATTTGTCACTATAATTGATAGCTTTATTGTTATGTACTGTACATTTTGTAATACTCGATACCAAAAAGTGCTAGACATAATATCACTGTATATTGGATTTAAATTAATAAAAGCAAACTGAGTGTGAATTAGATAATTTTTATGATATTCATTTAATGTAATATGATGTAACTTTATATTTTGCATGATGCAATGTTATGGACAACAATTAATTGTCAAATAGGATATTTCCAAATAAAGTAAAATCAATTTTAAAAATTTGGCAAAAATTAGACTCAGAATTTTTATCTAAACATTTTAATGATAGTAACAACAGTTTTGTTTAGTATGAAGCTAAAATTAGCAGTATTTGCTGGATATAATCATTCAGTTTTTTTACAACCACTTAAAAGGGGTTTTTTGGACTACTTAAATGAAATGTTATGATTTTTGAATCTGACGTTCAGCCGAGTTCAAGAATTACTCAGAAGATGATTTTATTCCCAGATATTTTATTTAAAATGCATTTCAGATTGGCATTTTTGCCAATTCCTCTTCAATCTATAAACAATAAAATTGGTTTGTAATATACGGTTACAATTTTTTAAAGAAATAAATAACTTAGAAAGGTTTAATCTGCAACAGAGTTTACACCAATTTTTTAGGCCTCTCCAACATTAATCACAGTAACAATCATTCCACATTGCATAACATTGTACTTTTATTCTTATATATGACACCATTCCGTACACCATTTATTAACATCCCACTGTTCAAATTAATTGTGATCAGGAGTCAATCTAATAATCAAACAAGCAATTTTGTTTTTTTTTTTTTTTTATTTCATTTATAATATTGAGGGGATTCTTTTCTTAACTTATATAAATTAGTAATAATTTGTCTAAACTGAATTATTTATTTAATTTTCATTACTTAATTTAGTCAAATGATGACATAAACTTGATATAAATAATGAATATTTACTAGTTTTTAAAAATAAACATTACTTATTTTAACTGGTCCTTTTAATGAAAAAATTAGGAATAATTAAATAGATATAACAAAAAATAGAAATTTATTTAATTTTTTTGGTAAATAACAAGTGTTTTAGTAACCATTATATTTTTCAGTTAAATAATTTAATTGAAAGATGAAAAATTATTAAAACACTTGTAATATAATAAAACTGCAGATGGTATTGATGTGAAATGTCAAAGATTCAATTATAACAATAATAACATAAAAATTAACAGTCTTGTATTTTGTTTATTTTTATGAAACTCATAATGCTACAAATTTTAGTATGATGATGCATAAATTTCTTAATAAAATTTATTATTTTTACCATATTTATGTATAGACTGTATGTAGAGCCCATGTAAAAAGTTGTAATATTACAATAATTTTATCATTTTAAAATCAGATAAATATATTAAATTTTCTAATATTTAACTTTATTTATAATAAATCATAAAAAAATTTTTGTAATCTTTATAGTAATTTTGGAACATTATTAGTGTTCAATAAACATACTTTTTCTTAAAGTTAATATAAGAATAATAATCATTTGTAGTCCATTATAATTTATTTTAAGAAAACTAACTATTAAAATTTGAAATAATTACATTAGAACCCTGATTATCTGAGATAAGTGGACCGATGCTACCTCAGATAATTGAAATTGCAGATAAAACAGATAACCCCAGCCATTTTAGATTAAAAATTACAAATGTAAAAGATTTATATGGTATCACTTTTAAGCCTCTTTTATACCTTAGTGAATTTAATCATATATATAAGAACAACAATTTTTACATAATTTATTATAGAACTAATATATAAGAATTAAAATATGTATTAATATAATTACATTTTAATATGAATGATTTTCTCATATGGAAGTTAAATGATAAAAGATAACAGAAACAAATTATTTTGTAATACATGTTACTATTTTAAACTTTCTTTTATTAATTACAGTATAAGAAAAGTAGTTTATTCACTTACAGGCTTGCCTTGGATAATGGAGAAGCTTGGATAATTGGGCTTCTACTGTACTGTACTGTACATTGTTTTAACAGGTAGTAATGATAAGCACTCAGATTCTTCTCATAGTTTTATGTGATATCACATAATAGTGAATTATTAATATTAATATTTTTAAGAATAATATCATGTAATTTTGAAAATTTTTCAAAAATCTGTATTGCAGAACTCTGATCTTTGTTTCTTTGAATGGATTATTCTATTTGTCACCTAATATTCTTTGAAAGGTTTATGTAGCAATGATTTAAACATAATAATTTGAATATTTTAATCAAGAAAAATCTTGATTTTACAAACATAGTTTAATTGCTTCCTGATTTTATGTTTTAAATTTCATCTGAAATCAAACTAGTTTGATCTGAATTTCCCTAATTGATCAGATTGTTGGTTCATTAAAAGTATTATTTAGAAAACTCTCTGTCTTAGCACCTGAAAGATAGAAAACATTTTTTAAAAGATCTGACTAATTAAAATCTGTTTTTACTCATAAACAATTTAACTTTTTCAATTTATTTAATTTATTTAAGTATTTTTTATACAGGGTGTAAGAACACTCAGTACTTAGGGATAGATTCTGTCAAAGATAAAATTAAAGTCCTCTATAAACATTTTCAAAATCTGGCCTTCCAAAAAAAAGATACTTTCCAAATTCCCTATCAAAGTACTAACACTAGACTTGTCATCTTTTTACAATAATTTTGTATTTTTCATACTTTTTGTCAATGGATTGAGGTAAATAAACATTACCTAAAAGGTTCTATTGTAATAAATGTAAACAAACTATTATCGATTTTAAGATTTTGCAGTATTTGTCTGCTTTACAGTAAAAAAAAAAAAGCAGTAGTTGAAAAGCAAGTGTTTTACAATATACATTTACTTTAAATAAAAGTTTACTTTTGCAAAATTAATCAAAATAATATATAAGAACTTTTCAGAATGTCCTCTGCATCTGCATCTGCAGAGGACATTTGTGTACAGTTCAATTTCCATGTAATATAATATATTCCAACATTTAAATAAAGTTTGTATGTGTTGGTAACAGAGAAGTGGCAAACAAATAGCATTTCCTTTTGGTGAGAGGTTTAAAATTGATTTCTGATGTGATTTTTGGTAGGTTAGATTTGAAAAATAAAACAGAATTTTAAAAATATTTATAGAAGATTTTAAGTTTATTTTTGACACTAGGATCTATCCTTAAAATATTTAGAGGTTTGTTGCACCCTATATATAACATTTAGATATATAACTGCAGCAAAAGCCTTGATTGTCTGAGATTCTGCATTATCCGAGGCAAACCTGCAAGTGAACACGCTACTTTTCTTATACTGTAATACATAAAGAAAGTTTAAAAGGTAACATGTATTACAAAATGATTTGTTTCTGTTAGTTTTTATCATTTAACTTCCAAATGAAACAAATCATTTGTATTAAAATGTGAGAACAATAATTCATACTTTTATTCTTAAAGTTATTGCATATATTAGCTAAAGAAATGATGTAAAAAATTTTTTCTTATATATGATTAAATATTAATTAAATTCACTGAAGTATGAAATAGACTTAAAAGTGATATGTCACATAAATCTTTTATTTTTGTAGTTTTTCATCTGAAATGACTGTGGCCGTCTGTTTTATCCGAGTTTTTAGATATCCAATATAGCAGCGCTATCCAACTTATCATAGCCCGTGGGCCATATTTTCTTCACCAAACATTTCGGGGGCCAAGAAGGTTGATAAATGAAAAGTCAGTTTATGTTAATTATACTAAATAGTACCTACTTTA